ACACTCACACAGACCCCACAAGGTAACTGAATCACTTGCTTCCATTTCTCAAGAGTCAGATGACAGCAGCAAGGGAGGTAACTCCCTGGTATGAAGTACAATAAACACCAAACGAAGGATAAGGCAGGGCTATTCACTGTAGCCAACTAATGCATATTCCTACTTTCACAACACAAATGTAAGCTGTCTACCCACTCTGGAAAGTGCAGCTTCTGGGGTATGAACATAATTGTGAAATGCTCATTATGGGGGTGGCTAGGATAATACACATGAAGTGGCAACTGACAAGTACAGAACAGGTATGAACTTAGGCTACAAAAACGTGCTATATACAGGACAACTCTCTGAGAAATGAAATTATGGAGTCATAAACTTACATGATGTTTGTTGGTTTTTTTTCCAAGCAGTTGATCTGCTACCTAAATAACCTTTGGAGAGTTCGCTGTGAAAAATAGACTATTTTAAGCTAGGTACCTAGTCAAATAAATTTGAAACTTCCTTAACCTGAAGAAAAAAAAACCAAAAAAAACCAACAAAACCCCAAGAACTAGTTATTATTTCATTTTCAAACTGAATTAAGCCCTAAAATCACACTAGGTTGCTCTGAAAGTAATGCTTCCTCTTTTATTATGTTGGCCTTCAATGTCAGAGGTGTATGGTGGTGGTGGTGTTGACAGTTGTCTCCCCACCCCTGACTTACTCATAGAAATGCATCACTATCCTCAACATTCTCATACTGCTTCTATCATGTAGTGAACCATGTGCATAGCAACTATGTATGAGGACAATCTGTAGCACTTAAGAAGTTGCAGACAATGAGCAGAGCTAACTGCTTTACTCCATAAATGTTACAGGCATCTCGTGACCATGAGTACACAAATCTCAAAGCCTTGAACTGCATACTGAAATTTTGAAAAGCCATGATACTTTCAATGAAAATATTGTTCAATTGCCCATTGCTTCAGGCTGAGAGAAGGCCATTTCAAAACACATTAAGGACAAGAAGGTGACTGGAAACAGTCAGCACAAATTTACAAAGTGGAAATCAGACCTTCTACAGTGAGATGATCTGCCTGATGGATAAATGCAGAGTAGTTGAATTCTGTCTTAAAAGGCTTCTGACACCATCCCTTACACAACATCCTCACAGATGAAATGATGGGTAGATAGACAGTGGGTGGACTGTACTGCTTGGCTCAAAGGATTGCAATCTGTCTGCAGTGCAAAACCCAGCAGAAGGCTGGTGATGAGTGGTCTACACTGAGGCCAGTGCAGTTTAGTACCATCAGTAATGACTCCCATGATGAGATGAAGCGTATCCTTCTGTAAGTTTGTAGATGTTACAAAAGGAGGCAGAGATGTTGATGGATGGCTGTGCTGCCAGAAGAACCTTGACAGCCTGAAGAAGCACGCAAACAGAAGTTCAGTAATACAAATGCAGATCCCTGTACCTGAGGAGGAATAATTCTAAGACAACTGTACACTGGAAACCGACTGGCTGGAAAGCAGCTTTTCAGGAAAGAATGTGTAAGTCCTTGTGGACAAAAAACTGGCTATGAGTAAATAATGCATTTTTGCAGCAAAGGTGAATGACAGCCCTCTAGGCTGCATCAGGAGAAGCATTCCTAAAAGACTGGCTGAAGGGCATCCTTCCTCTTTACCCAGCACTGGTAAGGTGCATCTAGCGTGGTGGTATAACCAGGACAAGAAATGCACAGACAAGCTGGAGGTGACAAAGGTGATTATCGTATGGGAGCATCTATAATACAAGGGGATCCTAAGAGACCTGGGATTGCTCAGCTGGGAGAACAGAAGGCTCAACAGGACATTAGCATCATGAGCAAATAAAAGACGGGAGGAGCAAAAATAAGTGAGCAGAACTTTTCTCAGTGACGCATACTGAAAGAACAAACAGCCATATGACAATAAATGAAATCCAGGAAATTCCAATTTGACATTAAAAAAAACAACAACAAAAAACAACCAGAAGCAAGCAAACAGAAAGCATGCTTCCCTGAGCAACCTGCTCTGGCTGATCCTATTAGAGCAAGAAGGTTAGACAGGACGACCTCCAGAGGTGCCTGCCAGTCTCCGCCACGCTGCGGTTCTGTAAAGAGAGAAGAATGAGAGTCTGGCCAGTACAACAGAGGAGTCTCTGCTTCAGTCCAAAACAGAGTAACTGTCCTCATACCAGACATACTCCTCTTACCTCACTACATCAGTTGCAGAGGCAAACCGATGTTGCTATTGCTCCAAGAAGGATTAAAACATAATGAGGCTATTTGCTACACAATTTATCAAATGCTGCTTGTACGCCTGCTTGGGTTATTTTATGTACTTGAATCACCTAAATTAGATTTGCGAATCAGGCAGGAAGTCACATTAGTATGATTTGTTCATGTTGCTGATGTTTTAAACAGAAATCAAATTTCATCACAATGGGAACACAAAACATTGAAGATGTCTTTCCTAGATGTATACATTTCTAACTGGGAGATGCCTTTTCAAAAAGAACAAATTCAAGTGCATCTTGCTGCAGAGACATGTTGTACTCAAAAAATGTACATCTTGAAGGAAAATCAGAATACATAGAGAACAAGTCTGAAGTAGTATGCCAGAGCCAAAAGCTCATGTCCTTTCTGCATTCTGCTTTAAGTTAGAACCACAGGCTCTAACACAGACTGGGTGTGGGATGTTAGGGCTTGCATGCCAAATGAAGTCTGGACTCCTTTCCTTCCTTCCTTCCATGCTTATCACTGAGAGTTTTCAATCAGAAGCAGCTGTTCCATACCAATTAAATTCTACTAATAAGATTTACATGAACAGGAAGAAGCACCAATAATTCTCCATCTTCTTAATCCCTCTTTAACCTTCCACAGATCTGTCTTCCAAATAAGGCTTTTATGCCACGTTCCTATATTCGCTGTATTTGAACTCATAAGCCAGAATGAGTTAGAACAACTCAGGGATACCATATCCTAGGATACCAAACAAATTTTATCAAGTCAAAAATAATTAAATCAAATCAAGATGCATTTTCATTCTTGTGTTTAATGAAAGTATTTCTGTTTTTAAAAACACCATGATGCGCCTGGCCTCTCTCTCATTTTGGCCCATGAGATTTTTTACTAAAAGAGTAAAACCAGAAGGTTAATTGTAAGACCACAGTCCCCAAACGAATGACATTTGCTTACTCCTCAGCTCAGCACGGACTTTTTGAATGGCACTAAAGTATATGAAAGAGCTATAACAGCACCTGTCTTGGTCCAGAGAGATCTGTCTCAAAAGTAAATATGTAAAATATTTATTTTGTCTTAAATTAAAAGAAAACTGAAGAGATCAAAGGTGCCTCTCTTCACACATTTCCCTTTCCTATGGGTTTTTGGTCACGCAGACATGAGATCCTTGTATCAAATCCACTAGATGGTGCAATCCATCTTCTTCATTGAAAGTGTTCAGCATTTAAGTACATAAAATAGTTAATTTTTTATGATAAGAAGGCCAAACTTTATGCCAATAAAGAAAAGGTTCATTACTGAAAGATGAAAAGAACCAACAGAATGTAATGGCTTAGGAAAGACCTAGGATTGAAGCTTACATATGTTAGCAGCCAGCACTTCCACTTTCAAGGGAAGTATGACTTCACCCAATTTCAGAATATATAAATGAAGTTCAACAAAATTTCCATTAAATGAAAAAAAAAAAAACAACCCTAATCTGCACAGTGTATTTTAAAGGTCATAAATAGCATCAGAAGGAGAATACCTAAACTAATAGGAAGTTAGCATTTTTACTGACCAAGAAGAATAGCATTCAGCTGCAGTAATCGAAAACCCTACAATTTGTCTTGAGTGCTTTAGAGGCAAACACAATACTCACTAAATCCAGAATCCCAAGGCTGCATTCTGACATCTTACTTGCAATCCGTAACCTAAAAGTGGCAACCTTTTCACTTCGGACTGTACTCTGCAGAGCTGGTACAGAATAAAGTCAAGATGCAAAAATAAATTAAAAAACCACTTCCAGATAGAGGGGTGAATTATCTCCATGGCCAACTACAAATTTGATCTGGATTGCAGCCAGATTTTATGTCAGTCCTTTTCAAGTTCCCAAATGGATGAAGTCTGCTGAATTATCAACAGTTCTTTACTGCTTATTACTTACTGCCAAGACGAGTCCTACACTAGAAAGGCATTCCACTGGCCTCTGATAAATTGAACAAGTGTACTGCTTTCTGCTTGGCAGGATTAGGAAAAATTAGTAGACATTTAAAAACTAAGTTCTCTTCTCATAGCAACTTCTGGTGGATAGCCAAAAAAGTCTTGATTTTTATTCTCAGCAACTCCTGCTTTGTCTCCTCAAACAAGATATTCTTTTTTTCAGGAAAAAGATAACTGCTAATGACATGCTCCAATTTCCTACCTAATACACACACACTCACCAGTGTGAGTGGAATATTTTGTGAAGTATAATCCCTAAAAGTCAGAAGAGTGTTTTTTTCTTCTAAGCAATATAAACTACATTGTAATACATTAGAAAACTGACATCAAATCCATTTCTTCTCAACTTGATGATAATGCTTTTACCAACTGCAAGAAGGAAGCACAAAAACCACTACCATCTTAGATATAATTAGTGTAAAACTTCTTGAGTTCCAGGAGGATTTTTTCCTAACTGAACATTTCCCTTTTGGGAAAAAAATTCTCCTGGAAATATGTCTGCCATCATGAAGTTCTGTCTAAAAGTTCATCGATTTTGATGGCATGTCAACTTAGCACAACAAAAATATTTTATTTCATTTCTTCAGAGAATCTTAAATGCTTTTTATCCACTTCTTGCTTAATACCTGGTATAATGTAAACAAACAGTACGGAAAGAAAGCATTCACTCATTTATATAGAACTCACTACTGATTGTATTCGATAGTGTCTTTACACAGGCACTATCCACAGTGCTTTTGCCTGTCGTTAATTCAGGTTGTGCTTGCATTCACCACTGACCTTATGGAGTGCAGGAGCCATTACTGGCACTAAAAATCCATTATAAATGTAATTCACCAGCTGGTTACGTATCAAGGGATGCGCCACCTAAGGGGAAGAGAGATGGAAGAGAAAGACAGAGAACAATAGCAGTGAGACTGCAAACAAGACAAGGAAGATAATACTTCTGTCCATTACCAAAACATTTTCCCATTTAAAAAACACATGTCATTTATCCATCACTCAAACATTTTCTATGATGTGAATTCTTAAAGATACTTTGTTCTTCCAGGAAAATACAGCAAGGGTGTTTACTCAGAGTAAGCCTGCCAAAGTTAGAGAAAAGGACTTCTCGATTTCCCTGCAGGTTGACAAAGATGAAGAGACCAACAGTAAAGACTGCATGCCCATGCATCAAGGAAAGACTTGAAATTCTAAATTTAATTCTTGCAACTTTGTCAGGGTCACTTGAAGGTGGATTTGCCATCATTAATTTGTCCTTTTACAACAAGAAAAAACAGGACAGCTGTTTACCTGTGTTTCAATAGTAAATAAATACAAGAACTCTCTAGCTATCGGGATAAGAATAAACACACCAACCACCATGGCAACAAAATACAACAGAACCTTAGCAGGAAGGCTCAACCTCAACTGCTGAGCACCAACATCCATCTCTGACACGGTAAGGCCCACACAGAGAAACAGGAGGGATTACTTTCCCAGCAGCAATTACACTTTACAAGCATCTCACTAAAATGTATCTTTTACTTAAAAGTAAAGGTGACTCAATTTTCAATCCTACTCAGCCATTTCTTCAAGTAACACAAATGTCCACTGTTTGCATAGAAGTTACAATGTATTTAAATAAAATTCTGAATGGGGGCTCTATAAGGCTCTATATACTTCAAAGCAGTACCGAGTAAGGTATTAAAGACAGGAAAAGAGGGAGAAAAAATAAAAACTAATCAAGAAATAATCATTAGGAACAGAGAGTGGATTCTACGCAGGCCAATCTACAATGATATTATATTCCTAGAAAGATAGCTAAATTCTGCTTAAGAAGGTGTTTGGCTTCATTTTTCTTAATGCAGTGCGCACTGCAAGGTGAAACAGACTATTTTCTTTTATATACTATTGTGAGAGTTTAAATATAGAGGAAGTGGTTTTTTAATGCTTAAATGGATAAAGACTATTTCCCCCCCATATTTAAAAGCATTCAATTTATTTTCCATGTCAGCAGTGGCATTACAACGCAGTAATACTTTGGGTGATTTTTTTGTTTGTTTGTTTTTGAAAATACAGAAGATGTTCCCAATTATGTGATAAAATATCAAGAGTCTGATCAGCTATGCTGAATTCATCAACATCTGTCATCTGAAAACCAAAAACATATTAATTTATCCTTATAATTGAGACAAGCAGCACAAAGCCTTCCCTTTATAAATAATGTCTATTGGCATAACTAATAAATGAAAATAAATTCTCTAATTCCACACACACACACAAAAAAACAAAACAACTGCAGAGTTTATAAAACCACTATTCCAACTTTGCTCCATTACCTGTATCACAGCATTGCAAAATTCAAGAGAATTCATGAATTGCACAAGGGCAGGTGACAAGAGCCAGTCATCTTTCAGCAGGCAGTGCCACTCTTCTCCTTTTTCTTCCAACTTGGTAGGCAAAGATGAATAGAGGCCACTTAGCCCTGTTGCCAGCACCTGTATTTCAAAAACAGAAGAGAAATAAGTTAGCTTCCCAAACGTTCATCTGTTTCAATAGCATTGCCACACAACAAATCATTTGTCTTGCTGGTTTTAGTAGCATGAGAGAGTGTTATGACTAATTCAGTTTCCTCTTGAAAGAGTTATGTGGCAGAAAAACATGAGTATTTTAAAGAGTCTTCTTTGTAATATAATTCTTCCAGGAGCTGGTATCTGGGAGAAAGAGATGGGAAAGAGCAGGTTGTCTTACATTCTTTATCAGAAATGACAATTTCTTTTTTAAATGGTTATGAAGTGATTTTACATTTCCTTTCAACCTCTTCCAGAAGAAGCAATCGCTGTCATATTCTATAGTCTGTTACATGGGGGTGATTTGCATGTTACCATCTACTTATGCACTCATGAAGTTTTTTCAGTAGGAAATAAGAGAAAACAGAAATGGTGGGGAAAGCATCCCCATCAACAAAAGTGAAGTTCAGCCTCACTGTAGCCACAGATACGTGTTGACTTTTATTCACAGACGCTGGTATTCAGTTGAGTCCACATCACAAAAAAGAAAATAGTCAGTACATGTAATTTTTCATCGACCTTTCCTTATTCACTTGGAAGAAAAGAGAAGAAATAAAAACTTGAAATAAGTAACTATACAGACATAGTTTCCAGTGCTATTAAGGCTTATAGCTGATACGTGCACATCAGTTATAAGTTTTAGTTACAATTCAAAAAGCAAATTTCCAACAAGCTTTTTACACGGTACTGAATATATTTTGAGTATTGGCATTTTCAGAACAAGCTTTCAATTATTATTATTACTTGAAGCTGGAAATTTTTAAAATATTATTTACAATTTTTACCCTTGTGACATGATTTTCTACAACTTCAGGACACATTTAAGATGATCCTAATTTTAAGGACATAAAGACACAACCTGATGGAAATCTTAGCTGTCATTCAGTAGACTCTTGCAGGAATTTTTCCTCTTTTGAGAAACAGCTACTCAATGTCTACATGGATATAAAGTTAAAGCCCAGAGGAAACACAAATGTTTCATCTATTAGAAAGCAAACCATTGAAAAGTACAGCTCAACAACCAAGGGGATTTAGGTCCTGATGACATGCAAGTGTAACCAATTACATATGCTAACTCACTTAGTTGGACAAAAGCAGTCCTTCTAAACCTTATCTATTCCTCAAGTCACGTAAATTGAAGGATTTCTTCTGGCATAATTAAGCAAATATTATGAAAAAAACTACTTTTTCACAAACAGATAAATACAACATAAGTGTTTTATATATATATGTTTGTGTTTACATATATATATATTAAAAAATACAATAAAAGGTTGCAGGAAATATACTAAGAAACCAAAAATCTAAAGCCACTGAGCACAAGCTTTACTTGTTTAATCACATTCTTCTGAATCAAAAAGCTTTTTTCTACAGCGTTGGTAGAAGAACTCAAAGCTGGAAGACACGACGATCTCAGCAGACCTATTAAAATATATGCACTGCCCTCCACACTTGTACTCACAAACCCAGACTTCAGAAAATTCTAGGAAGGAAGAAATTCTGAAAGGAGAATTTGAGTTTCGTTTGTATTGCTATTAGTTAATTAATGCAAACTTGGTTTTCCATTGTCTGCTTAGAACTCAATTGCTATTCATAAACACACACTCACAGAAAGCAACCTGATTTTCAGAACAGCATTCCAGATGCGTTTCTCCTTGACATGGAAGTTTAGTTCTGAAGCACGATACTGACTTTGGACAAACTACACTACTTGCAACTGAAGCAGCAAGCTCACAATCACTCCACGTCTTCAGGTGAGAAATTCTTTAGTTTGTCTGACCTACTGAAGTAACAAGGGACAGATGACTTATGTTATGAAGTAGCAAATGGCTCTATGTGAAATAACATTTTTAAAGCACTGAGGAACATGGCTTCCTCTATTTAGAGAGAAAGCATTTGAAAATTTTCCTAGAAAAATATGGTATAATTACAACTACTGTTTGAAATTATTAGCAGAACTCTTCATGTTTTATAAGAATGCATACTAAATAATACACAAATACAGGCTACATGGAGTTTTAACAGAAGATGACAATCATCAATGAAAATCATTATAAAGGGAAAGAAATGAATGAGGTCACATCCCAGGAGTGTAAGGATGGGTTTTGTTGTTTTTTTTTGTTTTACTTTAGACAGCATTCTTTCCAATTTCTAGATTTTAGATATTTTATTTTTGAATTGTCACAGCAGTCCTACAGTCCTACTTTTACAAGCCTTCCCAATAGCTCCTTTTTCACCACTGGGTCACGAGTCTTTCTGCTTTACAAACAATCTCCTCAACTAGGATCTTTGTCTTGGTTCATGGAAGACATTGTGTGACTGACTGTGATTTGTCTCAGACACATTACATAAACAAAATGCTGTGTTGTTATTATGTCATCAATTGCTACCCAGCCATCTTATTTACACATTTATATCAATTTCTTACCTTTAATATTTCTTTTTCCTCCTACACCTGTAGTTCTATATCTGTATAGCCTGAACTTCTCAAGTTCATTGCAGCCACGCTTCTTTCTGCTTTAATATCTACTTTTCCAAGTTGTGGTGTATTTACAAAGAAAAAGTGTTATGGAGAAGCTGTGAGATGCTATCCTGCTCAAAATTCTAAGTAAACGCTGTTTTCCTATCATAATAACAAACACATAACACCTTATATCACAGACTTCGGAAACCTGTAGGTCAAAACATCATGAAAAGATTTGACCAAAGATACAGAAAAAACCTGTGAGAACTTTGCCTGACAGTTTGTCTGCCCATTCCATGTTAAAAACATTTTTCAGTCGTGTCCTCACCTCACTTCACCTCTGAGGCATGTTTACACTACACAGTAAGGGGCAGTATAGAAAAATCAGTGTATTAGCAACCAATTAGCCAAGGAATCTGAGACATCCTCACTACTGTGATACTCAAATGCAATCCATTACAGCAAAGGACTGTGCTACCTGTTTTGTAGTGCAGATGTGGGCTCACCTACTATGATTTCAGCGATATACAGCAACGTCATTGCTGTTCACCAGAACAAACCAGTACTTGAGCCCATCACACTCAAACACAAAAAAGATTTTGTGCCAGCAAGCTAATTCTATAGCACTGCATTGAAATTTTATTACAGACTTAGGCCAGCCTCATTACAGTTCAGACAAGTCCGATTTTAGCACATTTTGACAAGAGGCCATCTTAATTAGAATGATTGTCAATCATGGCTCCCTGCTGTTTGAAGGTTAATATAGCTGGCTTTTATCTTCAGTGTAAAAAGGATTTTTCTTTTTTAATTAATTGGAAGATGTAATTATGAAAGTTATAGCGTGGATCCAATAATTGTATCTCAGGATTGTCTCAGGGACAATCTAACTACCAAGTTCATATTTTTAGCAGTATCCATTAAATAGGGTCAAATGGAGTCTCTCAGCACAAGACGCCTGATGCAATATTTACAACTGACAAAGGAAGTATTTACAAGTTTCATTTTGGAACTTACAGGCTTCCTGCAGACTGTAAGCCTGCACAACTCTCAAGGAAGATAGTAATCTGAGAGTAAATAGGGACCTGTGGCTGGAATAACCGCTGCACAAATGTTGAGGTGGAAGGGCAGGCCAAAAACTAATGCAGAAGAACATCTTCTCTGCAGAATGATACTTGGCTTTGAATCCACCCGTTGCAGATCTCAAAGCACTTTTTGTGAGCAAGCATGAAGAAGCAGGTGCAATAGTACAAAGCTGTTAGAAAATTTATTTGTTTAATCACTAAGATATTCTGTTCAAGAAGTACAACTGATTTGCCAGATCTAATAACGCAACATTACTACCAAGTTTTGTAATAGACTACATAGCATGATGGTGTTATGGCCAAGACAGCCATTGGAACCTCATGATCCTTGACAAAGAGCAAGTCTCCCATTTACAGGACTGTTCAACTGGTGTTACAGTATGGTATACAGAACTGGTGTAAACAAGTTTGGCCACCAGAATCAGTAACCTGAGAAAACAGGGTTCACTTCTACTCCCTTCACTCCCAAAAATTTTACAGGGTTCTTAGGGTGAGCTAGATCAGATTCCTTCTCTGAAGAGTTCTGCTCTACTCCTATTAGTTTTCCAATGATAGTTTTCCAGTCTAACTCACTGTTAGACTGCAAATAAATAAATAAATGGGCTTATTTGCACAGACCCAAAGGAAAGGAACTGCATTGGTATGGAAACAAGCAGCAAGACTGCATCTGGAGTCAGGCCTGGCTTAAACAACACTATGTTTGTGAAACAGTTGTTAGCAGAAACAGAAGTAATACGTTACAACACATCTTCATCAGAAAAAACAGAACAGGACAAGAAGAATAAAGACGATTAGTTTAACACTGAAGATCAAGCAAGAACAACTTACTGGGCAAAAATAAGTGTTTTCTGCTATGTGGTTTGCAACAACGTTGTTTTCTGCTGACAGGGACATAATGAAGAGCAGTGCGTCACGAGCCTGTTGGCCTACTCTTCCTTCTCGATGAATGAAGGGAATCAGAAGGGAAAATATGAGGAAATTGGCAGCTCCTTGGTCCTCACTGGTGTGGAAAAACAGTTCTAGAATGGAAGGATCTTTGGCTATTATAGAACAGAGCTGATTCAGGAGGACAACTAGCTCTGTTTCCACTGTTGGAGTAGCTGTTCCTGAGCAGGAACTCAGCAACATCATCAAAGGCTTCAAGATGGGCTTGTGATGTAGCAAAGGCTGATGAGACTGGGTTACCAGCATTTCATACATTTTGAGTTGCTCAATTTTTGTCTCATCAGTGAACTCTCGCCGCAGGCTCCAAAGAAAAAGCTTCTCCATTATGTTTTCTGAGACCACAAACTCTAGAATGGGTCCCATGGAAGCATCCTTTGCTTGCTCCTCAATGAGTAAGAAAAGCATGTGCTCCACGTAATTCTGAACAGTGCTGGCTTCATCAGGTGAAACTGCACCATACTTGGCCTGAGTATTTTTCAAAGGATCATGTTTCTCTAAGATTTTTAGAACCTAAAAATAAACAAAAGCAGATCAATCATTTGAGCATACATTTGAAAATATTCACTTACATATAAACGTAAGGGGAAAAAAGACCTCAAAATTCGTAACACAGAACTTAAAACAAAATGATATATGTTTACACTTGCAGTTTCTGTCAGTCAAACCTTCTACACATAAATGTTTTGGATATCCTAGACTGAAATTTAGTTGTTTTCTTTCCCCATTTTTATAAGGGCCTGAATTTGCCACTTGTCTCGCTGCTGAGAACTTGGACTTCTCTTAAGCATTAAAAAAATAGGTTAAGACTTCAGAAATTGAGTTTTAATATTTGCAATAAGCTTCTCTGTCAGAGAGGACTAAAAATCACAGGGCCCTTCATGCTGAGTAACTGAGCTCAAGGACATCAATGCCGCAAGGTGGTTCACAGCAGTAAAGAAGTCCACATAGCTATTCTCTCTCTGCCACATCTTCAGTGATATCTAATGGTCACCACTGCCCCAAAACTCTTGCAACATTCAATATACATTTCAAGACTGAGTAATAATTATTCCAGCATTCAAAACCCTGCATTAAATTCCGTTCTGCATGCAATCAGTGAAGCTCATTATCAGTGAAAAAGCCACTGCATTTAGTCCTTTTGTGGAGGATAACTGCCACAAAACCACAATGGAACAACAGCTCCTGCCCCAGCATGAGTGCTTAACTGCAGTTAAGTGGCAAAAGATGGCTCTTGAACAGCACCTTTTCAACACAGGAATTATCTCAGAAACACTAATGCCCTTTCTGCAGCAGTCAGTTCAACATCATGTTCTGCACGAAAGATGTGCGTTCCTCAGAAACTCAGGGTAACCCCAGAAGTAAGAATAAAGCAAACTCTCATTAGTACAACCTACTTCAAATCAATAAAACTCAGTAGCATTACCTGTGCCCAGTGTGTTGTAAACACTATCATACAGGTTTCTGGGTCAACCCCCTGCAGGCTCAGACCCTGCTGATTTTTTCTGATACTAGTTCCAGAGGACATTATAAAGTTTCCAAAGGTCAATCCACTAGGCCATGCTGAATTTCCTTTGAAAATCCTGTTGGTAGTGAAAGGTGTCCAAGCATCATGAAGAGATCAATATCCCTTTTTGAGCTTCGGTATCCACAGGACTCTGTTTAAGAAAAAACACAAAACAACACATCTTCATACATCAAATTTTATGAGGTCTATATACACATATCTATATACAAACACATACATGCACACAAAGAATCTACTTCAAGATACCATTAAAACCCTTTCTCATTTCAATTCAACTGGAGGATGGAAATTTGTAAGCATGCTACATGTGACCACCACCTTAGACTTTTCCTCATAGAATAGTTTTCAATCCTGAAGCAGGTCTTTTGAACAAAGGCGCTACTCAAATATACGTCAAGCTCACGCAGTAAGCATTGTAGGTTTGCAATACAGTTTTGTTTCTATTATGTTTCTGTCATGCAAGCACAACTGTGTTCAGAGTGCCTCAATAACCAATGTTAAATAGACTACTTTAGTAAAAAAGCACAAGTTAGTTCCACATTTTTAAAAACAGTATCAGAAGAATAGATACAATTGCAAATATTTAAATGCTTCTGTCAGAGAGCATACCATAAAGAGTTGGAAATAACTGTTCAATATCATATGCAGATAGAAACATGTACTTCTATCTACACCAAAGAACAATAATAAGAAAAAAGGACATAAAAAACCCTTCACATATTCAAGATCAAATAAATTGAGACGTCATTTTTAAAGGAATATCAGAATAAGACCAAACATTGGCACTTTCTTTTCATCCATTATTTAATATCCTAGCTATCTGAGTATCAAAGCAGTTTCAAATCTGCAAGAGAAATTTAAAATGAAATGAAGACTGATACCTTCCAGATATTTATGAGGCTTAAGAGAACATATTATTACTTCAAGAGCCAATTTCTGTGTTGCAGTTTCCACTTTTTTTTGTCCTTCCATCAGCTTTATACTCATACCCTTTTCTTCTTTGCAAACCAACTAGGTGACTAATTTAATTTGATGTAAGAGCAAAAAAAAAAAAAATACCTCCAGAGTTTAGGAAGGCAATAAGTGCAGAACATGTTCCTACAGCTTATGTATATTATAGAGGAATTGTTTTTATTAGAGTGCATTTTGAAACTTTCTGCTTTCCTCCCTCTCCATTAGATCTCAGAAGACCTGGATATTCTCTGGCTTAGTTAAATACATCATGGGGTTTTCTGTAACATACGATGCCACACTTTGTAAAGCAATTCTTTGCTTATATAGTAGATATTCCTATGCATGTATCCTACAAGATAGTTAGCTTCACCCTGCAGCAAACACCTCTGCTCTTTGCAGGTATGCTCTGCAGAGCGTATCTTCTTGAAACAGCAAAACAGAGAGACTGCCACAAAAGCAACAGCAAATTTTGCAGTGTTTAAAATAGCCCAAAAAACTCCAGGCTACAGTATTAGTAGTTCTGAGACAAAAAAAAAAAAAAAAAACAACCAGAAGTTTCTAATGAAATGTCATCTTGTTTCTCTGTATATTCACATGTTCAAGATTCAATTGCATACTAGGAACTTCCCTCTGACCCCCAGCCCTTGCATGCAAGATGGATATGACATATTTCCTAAACACTCCCACCCATCCAATACAATTAACATGATAGAGTTTACCCCTTCTGTAGAGAAAACAATTCCTTGCATGGAGGGCACAGCATAAATCTGGGGATCATTTATCTCTCTGAGTAATACTGCTTGCAAAACAATACTTTGTGTTCAACACATACATACCTTCTGGTGACATCTCCTAGGAGTACCAGAAAAAGCCTGCTCCGAGTAGTTTGCCTAATATAATATCTAACAATCCAAAGGAATGTTTAATTCCCATTATTTACATCACCTATCAGCTGCAGATCAGTTTACCCTTCATCAGCCCTCTCCTCTAAGCAGAAATCTTCCCATTTCCATAGCAGCTGAGCAGACCCCTGCAGGCAGAAGCGCCCTTTGCTGTACAACCCCAATTCACCCCTTGAGCAGATCTGTCCTGTGCATGAAATGAAGGAAGCAGCTTTGGAAAAACTAATGTGATCATGTAATTAAAGATGGTATCATAAGGTGCAGCGAGAGAACTTAATTAACAATGCAGAGGCAAGCTTGTTTCTGGAATTTACTAGTTTTGAGTTGTTTGACTTTTCAACTTAGAGGTTGTTTCAAGGTAGAGTCTGCATGCTGTGTAAGAGTTTATTTAAATAAAAGAAAGTGGTATTACACATCTAGATATCACATGGGAAATAGTCATCAAAAAATGATACCGAAAGTCAAATCACAAACTTCTGGCCAACTATTTAAGCTAGCAAAGAGCAATAAGGGAGGCTTTCTTCATTAATGCTGATAAAAATGACTGAAGGTTGGAACAAAGAGCATAACTACCCAGTTTATACTACTAGCTGAAAACAAAACAACTTGTCTCTAGCAAACATTAGGTTTACTTGCACCTAGCCCAGCTATCAGATCAGAAATTGAGGAAGCACAGACCTTCCCTTCGCAGTGGCAAAGTCTACAGCCTTTAATCACCTTAATTTTAAAATTAACTAGACAACAACAAACAAGACTGCAACATAACTAAATTCTTTAAAATCAAATCAATTCCCTCAAGGAAGCAAATATTTCCAACCTGGAAACCATCTTAAAATGTCATGACTTCGTAGTCTACAGAACAGTAATAGATTGTATGAGCTCAGAAGACTTAAGAGTCTGAAACACTGTTTCAAAAAATATACACAACTGTATCAACTTAAGTGGCAACAAAGTAAATCCTGAAAGCAGGGTACATGCTTGAAAAAGGAAACTTATTTGGAAGAGATAGTGTATTTCAAGATACACATCTACCTACAGTTCCTATGCTCTTGTTTTAGCAGTACTACAAATAATATATTCATTGTATTCACTGTAAGCAGATTTATTTTCCACTAGATTAGCAGGTTTTTCTGATTATTTTGCAAGGCCAAACTGCTGCAGTAATGGCAATGCTGAATTATTCCTTGCAAACTAAAGCTAACTCTGATTAAGGAGAACAAACGGCCTGATAATACTGCATAAAAATTAGGGAAAATGAAAAAAAAATTATCAAATGCCAAACATAGAAGAAGAGATTGGTATGAACTTGGGCACCACTAAAAACAAAAATAACAGTTTATTTTAATCATTTTTTATCAGTTCAGTGTTGATCTGAATAGTTTTAGATTAATGATGAGACTGAAACCCAGCCACTGGACGGGCAATGGACAGCCAATTTCAATTTTCCTTCACAAGTCTGTAAATCTTCAATCCTTTTCCCACAGCTGATAATAGGGCTTAACTCCCCAAACAACAGAAGTACTTATTTTATTGAAAAGTACGCTGTAAGAACAGCCCAGCAGAGAATCCATTGTCAAGTTATAGAATCATAAAATCATAGAATGGCCTGAGTTGAAACGCTCATAATGACCATTTAGTTTCAACCCACTGCTATGTGCAGGGTCACCAGCCACCTGACCAGGCTGCCCAGAGCCTGGCCTTGAATGCCTCCAGGGATGGGGCATCCACAACCTCCTTGGGCAACCTGTTCCAGTGCGTCACCACCCTCTGGGTGAAAAAATTCCTCCTAATATCCAACCTAAATCTCCCCATCTTAGTTTGAAACCGTTCCCCCTTATCCTATTCATCAGTGAGCCCTGCCAGCTCCTGGGCTAGGATCCACTTTCCCTTGGAGACAGGCACTGAGTAAACTGCAAGCTGCCAAATCTACAGCTATTTCTACTGCATGGACTAGCTAAAATGCAAGAACAGAGGGGCCAATTGAATGCTATGGCCAAAAACACATTGATGGATTATGGTAGAAATTACAGACAGTAGATCTAGGAGGTACAGTTACACAGCAGAGACAGTTCATCAAAGGGCATATTAGCAAAGCTAGAGAAACGGCAACAAGCGCTCAAGGAAACCATAATTAAACAAAGCAGAATACCTGAAGGAGACTTTGACCTTCTTAAGGAGGGCTCCTGATACACCACAGGGCATGTTCATCCATTGCCATCATTTGTACACAAGCAATTCTCCTGGAACTCAAGAGCATACTACCACTGCAGGTACTGTTGCAAAGACCCAGGAGGAAGGAGCTGCAAGTTCATATCCCTAGGTCATCAATCTGAAACTAAGGAAAAGGGCCACGGGAAATAAGGCTGCCAATCTAGTGGTATTACTTGTTCCTTTTAGACTTATAAGGAACATAAACCTGTTTCTCTGTTTCATCTCCCCCGGTCTTGGCCTACTATAGAAAAACGACAATTCAGTGACAATTAGAGGCTGGGAACACATTATGTTGGCTAAAAACTCGAAAACAAAAAGGCAGCTGAGGTTCTTAACAACCAAGATACATCTCTATGCTTTCTTTGACAGAAACACTCAGACGTCATATGACTGAGTTATCTTGTTATCATCACTTACAGACAATTACTACAGAAGGAGTATGAGGGACTTAATTTAAAACTGAAGATGAAAATTACATTGTAGAAAAGTTCGTTTTTATTTATACACTAAGGAACGCAGATATCACTGAACTGAAATTGACTGAAGAGCTTTAACTTCACTTGTTCATTCCCAAAACACAGCCAAAAGAAAAGCATTTTTCCTGAGAGAACCAAGTCATTAATACGGCCGAGGACCATGGACTGAAGCATTTGTAGCTGTACTAGGTGAGACACCGTAGAAAAAACAAACCAACCCTCAATTTAAAACGATATTGTTTTAAACAATACGCTTTCATATCAAGTTTCAAAGGAGAAAAGAACCACCCCAAAGGGCACAGAACGAGTCATCAAATATGAGCTACACTTTCAATTCATTGATTCATAGAGGAACTGCAAATATCAGCTGCTGCATCTACAGAAGTAATTTTTTTTCGGTCATCACTGAAGTGAATTATTGGGAAAAAGCAGCTGTTGCCGACATCCTCATCTCTGCTGGGAATTTGTGCAGAGTTTATTTCAATATCTGTCACCGCGTAGGAGTCGGAAGGAGCAGCGTATTCAGAAAGCAGGCATTACATAACCCTTCTTTAAGTTCTGGTTATCCTTGCAGAAGAGAAAAATCAAAACGCACCACTCAATCTGTAACACTGATTTTGCCTTCCAAGATAACAAGTCACAGAAGTATCAAAATTAGGTCATAAGAGCTTGGCCCTAGCTTGCTCATAGTTTAGGAAAACACAGACTTCTTAAGGTGTGATGCTGAAGTGAGCTTTCTTTGTAAAGGCGTTTTGTTTTCATAGGTCTTTTCTTGTTTAAAGGTTACACAGTGTCTATAGCTGAAAGTATAAAACAAATTCGTAAATAACCTGCGTATCTGGAAAGCCTTCCTGAGAGAAAAAACGGCGAGGCCAGTGAAGCAGTAGAAAACTATCTTCTAGAGATCGGAAACTATTTTCAGAACATCAGTGCACAGTTAGGAAATGCTACCTTCCTGAGAAAACAATGGTCTAGAAAATAGTTCTCAATATACCCATAATTCTCATACTCAGATTACTAAAAATAGGACTCAGCTAGATATCTTCTGCCTACAATAGCACAACGTAAACAGTATTTCTAGTGATTTGCATAACGTGTCAAACTAGTCTGTATAATAAGCGCAAGCCGTCCAAGACTGATGTTCCCAAGTATAGAAAGGGACTTTAATGATGATGCGCACACTTTCAGCACTCATCCATCATCAAATGCAGATATTTTCTGTAACCTTCTGCGTATCTGTACTTCATGATAAAAGAAGTCACAAACACTGATTTCCTTCCAAAATCTCACAATTCAACAGATTCTAAATATAGCCCAAGCACAAGAGTTAACATCTGACCACCACTAAAAGGTCACCCTGATTACTTGATCAATAAATCAACAAGCCAATCAGCTTCCCCACAGGATTGTTATCAAGATTTCACTGAGAGAAGAACTTCCACTTTGCACATGGAATTCCTCTCTCTCATGCACTTGCACGTGTTACTTCTTCTTGTTACCTGCCTCTCTCAAATGAAAAGCCCAGGAATAGGATCTAAGACGCCATTAAATCTAAACTGCTAGGCATTGAATGAATATTGCACGGTTGTTAACATACTACTTACTCTAGAAGCACATTTCTCTCTCCTCTCAGGAATTCATTTGCAATAGTAAGTTGTTTTTTTCCTAGGAAAAAATATTTTTACAACTGTGTATAAATTTAGGCAGCTACCTATTACACAGTAAAAACCTCCCACTCTCTCAGTATATTCATTATAGTACACGGACTATAATAATTGACTAGATGACTTAAAATCCTCATTTGTCTTTCTGCACATGATTACCTGAAAGTACTCATTTCAGAGAGAATTTCCACTCAAGATGACTACCAGCCAAGTCAAAATTTTTTCCTACGCTCTGAAGCGATAACCTGCCAGTGCCGGGATGAACTAATGGATGAAGGGCTGGCCAAAAGCACATCGCTGCACAGCTTCAGGACAACTGCTTCAGTACGTTGTAGGATGGCACATGCCTGTCACAAATTACCCAGCAAGCCAACTACGCTTTATAAGCTACTAAAACCTGAAAGGCCATTTCCGTACCTCATATTACGTACTATGCATCACCTGACATTAGGTAGACAGTTGTAATAAAATAATATACCCAGTGGATTTGCACTTTTTTTTTCTTTTAGAAAAATAAAAGGAAAAACAGAAAGAACAGACCACCATGTAACCACCCATTGTTCGGATCAGGCATTTGCAATTTAGCTTGGAGAAAGCTCCAGAAGCTAGTGAACTCTCTTTGTCCTAAATTACACTCCATGCTTGGCAAAGAGGAAAGCAATTGCAAACCCTTTTTCATTTCCTTTTTATGACTATCAATTGCCTAATTTGGGGATAACAACTGAATAAATGTTATTGCTTAAGATGAGATGCACAAATCACTATGGCACACTGTTCACTGAAGAACAAAGATGAGAAAGAGAAAGAAAAGCAAAGGGAGAACAAGTGCTTCTTAGGAAATCCTAATTCACCAGCTACCTAACACTGAAACCCCAGGTATTTGGTCTCATAGGAAATCACACAGAAATGCTGTTTTCCCTCTCACCTTCTACTCCAGCTCAGAGAATACACGGAAAGTTGAAGTTTCATGTCACATAAATTCCTACTGCAAAGTCAAAAATTTCCATAAAGTAACACTTCCCCTATCTCCAAGCACAGCTTCACAAAAAACCTTCCTCTGCTCCTGCAGCAGTGCACTTATTTAAAAATTCCAGTACAAATCTGCAAGCTGAGTGGATTTGGGCAGATTTTGGCTTTCTCTACATACTTGGAATTTTCTGCTTTTAACACACGTGCTGTTGAATAGCAAAATCCAAAGAAGATTGTTGGCATTCTTATTAGAGCATAAAAATTCACATCAAAGAAAAATCCTGTTATTGAATTTACATTTCCATTTCTGCTCAGTTTCATTGTATGTTATGCAGGTGGCAGGTGTTTTTCTTGTTTCTCAAGCTTTCCCAGGAGTAAAAGAATTTAAGTGTAAACAGCGTTAAGATGTCCATTACGCAGAGTAAAAATTAATCCTTCATCTCTGATATCATAGCATAAGTCCACTCTGTTTTGAGAGTATGTTACAACCTATCTGGAAACTGAAAACAATTCCAGCATCTTCCATTCTTGTGTCCATCTCTGTCAGAATAATGAGAAAGCCATATGATAGCACTGGCAAAAAAAGAACTGTCGCTATGGCACTTCTCTACAGTACTTGTCTCCAGCATATTCCTAGGTTTAAGATAAAATCAATTAAGTGAAGGAACAACTAAAGAATTACAGAAATCTAACACTGTCATGACAATTTGGTATAATTTTTCAGTCTCACCTTTGAATCTTTGTATAAATGTGAACAGAATTACAGACATCTTTCTGGTCCAGTGAGGAATGAAGATAAATTAGCAACCTCCACACCCCAGAGCACAAAAGAGGGTAAGCAACAGCCCTTTCTGAATTGCAAATGAGGACGACACATCTGAAAAAGAGAGTGCTCTGAAAAAACAAAGAGCCTTGCAGATTTTGCAAGGAGATGGCGTCTACCAAAAGGTGGAGTTAACATCACAAACCATGGAAAATAGAATTCATTTACTATTTAAACTTTCTAACACTTGAAATGCTCAAAACCGATAGCTGAGTAATGAAAACAGCCGGATGCCAGCTCCAGCAGGAATGCTTCACTGGACAGATAATGAAGTCGAAACACAACCTCTCCCGTCTGATTTTGTAACACCTAAGAACACAACTACAAGCGTGGGAAAGCATAAGTCCCACCTGCGATACACTGTTTGTATTCCTGTGGGCATGCCTCCGAAAGTGGGAAACGTCTGAGCACATCTCCAGGAACGCTGCTGATTTTCTCTCCTGCTGCCATCCCTCCTTCTGAGGCTTTTGGAGCTGTAGAAGTTACAGTCACACCAACACTTCTTCAGTTCTTGTTTTTATAAGTAGTTGAGTAGTACTCTTATCTTCTATACCTGAGATCTAGTGCCTTTCCCATCCCACTTCCCCTTGGCCCAATTTTTTCAACGCATCTTTCTCATTTTCCTGAAAACCTGCGGTCTGCATGTTCTCTGAAGTCGCCTGAGGCAAAGTTACATATGACATAACAATGCTCAGAGCTCCAAGTACAAGTTGAATGCAGAAACAGTGAGAAAAGGTACACAACGGTTGGTCGGTATGCACATGCCTTCAATGTTAGTCAGCCGTAACCACAACATCTTCCAAAGTATGACTCCAGCTTTATTCCTGAGCACACACTTCGTGAAATTAGATTACAATCTTCTTCTACTCTCTGATTTCCAAGAGTAAATAGGCTTTAAGAACTAGAAAGCATGTCAAATCTTTTTTTTTTTTATTTGATACATCAACTAAGAACAGTAGTAGTATATGGAAAACTATCATCATTTACCACTTACCTCTGGCTGAAACTAAGTGCACAGCCATTACAACAGCCACCGCCATCTCTGCTCTCTGTTTTTTCCACATCTTACTGTTTTATCTTCAAATCCCTCTCTCCCCACAGACACCACATTATTTGCATCATAACTCACACCATGGGCACTTCAGTGACGACGCACTTCAGAACTGTTTCTGAACGTCTCTCCACTAACCAG